TCTACGGCTGGTATCTCCGCGTGGCCGCTGTCGTCATCTATCTGCTGATCCAGAAGATCTCGCAGAGCCTGGCGGCCCGGCCGAGCGCCCAGCCCGGAGCAGCTGACGCGGCTGTGGGTGAGTCCAGCTTATTTTTTTTTGCGTCTGTTCTGGGCTCCTGAAAGCCCTTCTCGCGGTGGGATCCCTGGCAGCCGCACGCGCAGAGTCCTTACCTGATACCAACGAAATAAATTGGGTTCTGAGGGATTTCGGCAGCGAGTGATGCTCGGCAGAACCGTTTAGGCCCCTGAGAGCTCAGATCGAGTCACCGAAGAGCAAAAGGTTGGACCGGGACAAGTGTTTTTAAAGGGCTGTCAAGGAGGGGTTGTGTCCCCAAGCAAGGCTGTTGGGAGAGAAGGAGCAGGGTGTTGCAGAGCAAGGGAACAGCTGGTCTTTGATAGTGTAGGAGCCGAGAGAGTGGTGGTTAGAATTAGTTGTGCTCAGTTACCAAATGATATTTAAACTCAACAAACAAAACCAAAACGTCCGAATCTAGAAACTGGGGGAAAATCTATTGATGAATATGAAATGTTATTAATTTTATAGTCATAAGATCTCTCTCCTTTCCATTGTTCCTTCACAGTTCCTCCTCTGGCAGGGCTGTGTACATTTGGGGTGTAACTGCCTCTCCTCTTCCTTATCATGTGGGGCACAGGTTGTAAATCTTACACCATTATGATCCTGCCTCGTTGCTGTAAAGCACAGACTGTGCTGCTGTAGCTGCCAACACAATAAGTGCTTGGCACTGCTTCCTTGGGCATCTTGGCATGGCAGTACGTGGTGCTCTTGTCCTACTGGTGTTCTTTTGTAATGCTAATTAAACTCTGGTTTAATTGCCTGTGAAGTGAAGTTACTCTTACAAATTCATCACTGGATGGTAGCAAACAGATCAGGAGACAAACAAATGTGGAGATACTTCAGCTACTGGGAAAAAAGAGGGCAATATTTGCCCTATGCCTGGATGTCAGTTTTCTTTTGACTCCTCCTGAAGGGCAACCATCAAGAGAAGTGGTGACTCAATGTGGATTTTCTGAGGCTCTCAGTTTTCTTAGGAGCTATGGGTGGTATTTGTTAAGTAACTTCTCTGCTGATGGAGCCTGTTAAATCTGCCACTGCTTTCCTGCTGTACTGAAACAAGCAGGACCAATTGCCAGGAGTAGGAGTGAATGTGGGCTGGTTGCCTCATGCTTTTACTTTAGAGAAGTTCTATGGGTGAAAACAGAGCCCCTGGCAAAGCATGGGTGATGTTTCTGAAATTATTCATATCAAACAAATCCTTCAGAAATAGAAGCAAGCATTGTGGGAGTGTGAAATGTTATGGGTTTGTTACATTGGTGTCTTTATTCATTAAGATCCCATTAAAGAAATCGCTCTAAAAATACTAAAATGTTCTGAAATTTAAATCAGCATCTAAATGATTTTAAAAGCTTAGCTGGAAACTGAACTCAGGCTGTCATTTTGTGCACAACAGCTGCAGGGAGAGATGTGAGCCTTTCCTTATTACAGTTCTTTGAGGAGATTCATTTTGAACAGCTTTGCAAACTCTTTTCTACTTCCCTAGAACCTGAATTGGTGGTAAGAAGGCAGGAAGCCCTGGCAGCAGCTCGCCTCAGGATGCAGGAGGAGCTGAATGCACAAGCAGAAAGATACAAAGAAAAACAAAGACAGGTAACCAGAGAGCACTTCTTTCTTTAGCTCATAAATTGGCCATCAAGTACTTTGCTGCTGTTAGAGAAGGGTTTGTTCCATGCTGGATGCCAGAAGGACTCTGCTCTCTGCTGGAATGTGGGTGGTGGGTTTTTCCCGCTCCTTTGCCTGGAGCACTTTTGATGTGGTTTGGTTCCCCAGAGCAGTAAGGGCTGGAGGTGCCACCACGGACTTCCCACCATCCAAGAACATACTTACATACTGTACTGGCCTAGTGTCTTGATGCTCTTGGTTGTTGATTCCTGAAGTGGTTGATCTCCGTGGCACTTGCTTCTCCACAAGGAATTATGTGTGTGATTATGTGCATGTGGGACGTGGTGGGATCGATCTTTTGGGTTGGGTGTTTATTTTGGGTAAATCGCTGCCTACAGAAACTTGGTTACATGTGCAGTGGGTAGCAGATTGCTCTGTGGGGCATGGTGGGAAAGTGGATGTGATCAGGGTAGCAATCATATTGCTCGTTAATTGCAGCTCTTCTGTTTGCACTTGTGCAGTCATTCAGACCTCAGCTTGTAGCTGATGCTTCAAGAAATATTGGCAGTTAAAAACAAATGAAAAGTCCTATTGTGGAAGAACATACGTAGAAAACCTAGATCTTGTGTGCTTGGACTCGGGGAGCTTTGTTTCTTTGACTGTATGGAGTAGTTACCTTGTTTTCTATTTGTTGAGAAGGTGACAGTTTGTCTAAATTTAGCTTCAAAAGAGAGCTGGGAGAACTGTTGAGAGTGTATATTGGGATGTAAATATGTAGCTGACTGTCTTGGTCAGTTGAAAAACATTTTCTGCTGCAGAGCTCTACATCATGTATTAAATTACTTATAGATGCAATATTCTTTGCTCAGTACTTCTTATAAGCTCAAGATAAAAGGTTGCCCTTTGGTTCTGTTTTCCTTTAATGGAAATTGTTTCCTTTCAATGTTTTAAAGCACCAAGTGGCCAAAAGAAGCTGGGCACAGTCTGTACATATTGAGGAGGGATGGTTGTGAAGACGTGTGTGTTTAAAAAAGTAAATGCTTCAGAGATAAAGACAGATCCCTTGGGCTTTGTTGTGTCTGTTGGGGCTGTTTCTGTAGCACTGGCAATTCTGTTGGTTCTGAGATCTCAGTCTTCATGTCCTGGATTTGTTCCTTAGCTTGAAGAAGAGAAGCGAAGGCAGAAGATAGCAATGTGGGAAAGCATGCAGGAAGGAAAAAGCTATAAAGGAAACCTGAAGCTGAATCAGGTAACAACTGTGGTGTCAGTCAGGTGACAATTATGTTAATATGATTAGATTAGCTGGAATTCACGTTGATGAAATTCTGAGTAACTTTTGCTTTTGTGAACAGCAAGAAGTAGAGTCTGGTGCCTCCACCTCATCAGCACTTCCCAAATCCAAACCAAACAAAAAGCCCTTGCGAGGAGGTGGTGAGTATGAAATCCTTAAGACACTCTGAGCTTGAAGCAGAGCATGTATCCAGATAAATACACAGTCCCTATACATATTTTTTCTCTCCTCGAGGAGGAAACAGAATGTGCCTGACAAACGAGCTCTTTACCACTGACCAGTGTGGCCTCCTTTGCACTTTGTACAAAAGCTGGTGGGAAGATTGTGTGTTAACAGGAGTGCAGGGTGCAGGCTGATGGCTGACACTGCCAAGCATCCCTTGCAGCTCTTGCACAGGAGGTTCACCACTGCGGGGAGTGAGAAATGCAGGAGTAATAATAGCAGCTGGGCTGAGGAACCCTTCCAGTTTCTAGCTGTCCTAGCTCCATTCTAAGCAAAATCTTTGCTTAAGTAACAGATTATAGAATTGGAGGTTTCTGATCTTCTCCTGAGGTTCATCAGCATGAAGTGAAAGAACCATCTGCACTATTCAGCTGCTAAATTAAGCTAGAAAGCAGAACCTGCCTAGTCTGAGAAAAACAAACTTCAGAGATGGAGATGATGCTTTAAATTGGGGGGAATAGGTGGCTTTGAAACCTGCCTGGTTAGCACTGCTGCTAGGTTTTTGGATGGCTTTTTCTTTGCCTTGTACAGAACAAACTGGAGAAATTTGCAGTTGCATCTTCCCAAGCACATACTTGTAAAATGAGGTTACTTGTAGTTATGGCATTGGCAGGCTCAGCTGAAGTAGCTGTTTCCCTTACTGCATATATTTGCCTTTTCAAATTATTTTTAAAAGATCTTACTGTAGTAATGAGTTGTTCTACCTTTTGGCCTTCTGAGTATTCTTTCCTTGCAGGACTGGAATAAAATATCATTTCAAGTTCCTCACTATTAGGGCTTTTGGAGAACAGACACACTCTTACAGGGCTTACTGTGAGCTGCTGTTACTGCTCTGTTTACTCTGCAGAGCAGGAGTAAAGCTTTAGTGCAGGCTTAGATAAATTAAATGGCAATGAATTTCTATTTAATTTAATCCAAACCGATCAAATTAAAACATGAGTGTTTTGCAGTGGCTTGTACTGTGAGCACTGCAACAACAAACCATCTCAAGTCTGGATATTTTCTCTGCTTTCATTTTCCTTAAAATGCTGCCTATGTGCTAAGTGTGAACAAGATGCATAGAATTGTAAGGTTTGTTTTTTGTGTTCCTTGTGTGTTTTTGAGGCCTTTTTGAGGGTGAATATTAAAATGGTGGATTTCTCTTCTGTGATTCTAGGCTATAACCCCCTGTCTGGAGAAGGAGGTGGAACTTGTTCCTGGAGACCAGGCCGGAGAGGCCCGTCAGCAGGTGGATGAGGCTAACCTCCCTGGTGTCCCATCTCACCAGCAGGCTTGATCTTCCCCAGTGTCTGACTGCCTACAGGTTGCTTGTCACAGTGACTCCTCTGGGGGTAGGCTCAGTACAGGTGTTCACTTGAAACAGATTTGCACCATTTCCAAATAGCAATGCAGAAGCTGATGCTACAGAAGTAAAATACCTGATCCTCTTAGAGAGGATGAAGACAGAAACAATTTTAGTGTCATCAGTTAATTTGCACTCTTCTATAGAGAGGAAACGTAGTCTCCAGCCAAGGTGAATCACCTGGCATAGTGAGATCTGGGTTCTGTGACTATTTAAAGGCTGGCCTCAGGCAAATTTAATTATCTAAGCTCAGTTTACCTCTGTAAAATGAGAATATTTACCATCTTCAGCCATGTTCCTAGATCTCCTGTATTTGGCTGGAAGGTACTTTAGAGGAGAGGAGTATTGTCCTCAGCAGGTTTGTCACTGGCAGATGACCTTGAAATTTAGGAGGGACTTTGAGAAACAACAACTGAATTGACAGACACCTTGGATTTGCACTGCAGGCCAGTTGCTGCAGAAGAGTCTCTGTGACAGGCTACCTTGAATGATGTTTTCCTTAGAAATGGTAAACAAACCAGTGAGGATTACTGATACTAGACAGCAAATGGGGGGGATTCTTGCTATTATTTTTTTTTTCCAACTGCTTTGTAAAAACAAAGTACTATTGATATTAAATATAATTGCAAACAAATTACAAATCTAGTTTTTACAATCTTGTGGTTTTCTACAGCATCTTTTTATATAGAAGGCAAATGTTCTAGTGCAATAAACATATCTAAAGCATGATGAGAGATCAAATGAAATTATTTTCATTTGACTACCTACATAAACAAAAGGGGGTTTTGAGTTGTTTCTTTTGGATAGAAAATAAAGTTAGAGCTAGTCAGCATAGTTGAGCTTCTTTAAATGAGTGGAATATTTGTGTTCATCAGGAGGTATGAGGGACAACTTTGAATACACTGTGGAAATCAGGTGATCTGTGAGTTTCTCTTGACTACATGTGTAACAGGAGCTTGTTACTAGTGAGTTTTAAAGTTGCCAGGTAATGAAATGGAAAGATGAAGAACCTTTCGTTTTAGACCCATGGACCTGTGCTCAAGTGAGTGTAGCAGATTAAGTGAGAAGGTTATTAATGTTCCTGCAGAAACAAGTTTTCATTTCCTGGCCTCTGTGTGGTTTGGTATGTAAACTTAAATTTCCATTGTTGCAACATAGACCAGTGTATGGAACTTCAGATTTTAATATCTAATAATGCAAACAAACAAAAAAGAGGTGGGGGAGGATATTTTCAAGATGTAAGGCTTCTTCATCAGTAAATTATCTTACTTATGCCTCTGGGAACATTTTCCCCTTGTGCTGGGGAAAGAGGGAACACAGAGGTGTTGTCTTCAAAAAAACACCTGGGAAAGGTTGTTGTCTTAAAGCAGAATTCCTTGTGTTGATAAAATGGTAAGGATGGCTGATTTAAGACAGTAAAAACATTTTAAGAAATAAATAAGCAGGTCTGGGCTGAGCATATGCTAATCTTTCTCTGTATCTCAAGACTTGCTTCTGGCTAGGACTGGGGATATGGATTTTTGCCCAGTTCTAAGATTTATTAAGACATATCCAGGGAGGTTAAAGTGATTTACATATTTCTGGAAGCTTCAACCTTCTCTCTCTCTTATTTATTTCTTTATTTATTTAATCCACAAGTCCCTCAATTTTTCTTGATCAGACACTTCTAAGCTATTGAACAGGGTGGGAGGAAGAACCTCAGGTTGTAAAACTTCTCTTGTTGGCTCATGACCTGCACAAGCAGAGGGAAAGGGTTTTTCTTCTGACTTCAAGTGGGAAGCCCTCCCTTGACCACAGACAAGTATGGAGAGGTGGTTGTTTTTTGCTTTACAGCTTAAGACTGAAGCATGCAGGAGGCATTAGGTGAACTATTTAGGGAACTATTTAATAATTCCATTGTTCCTACTTTGGTATGAATTCCCAAGAACTTGAATTATGAAAGATCGTATTACAAAGTCTTCAGGAGATTTTTGTGTTTTCTCCTCACTTACAGCAGTTATGCAAGAAGCCTCTTACTCTACTGATGCAGATGTTCTGGAAATATCTCTATCCAGAAGAAGGCAGCTAACAAACTTCGAGTTCATGCAGTGTTATTCAGCTGCTGCATAATGTTAGTTATCCTAAGTCAAGTAAGTGTTCAGAGGCACACAAAATCCTGAAATGATTAGTTGCTCAAGAAATGCAACCAGAGTATTTTTCTTTACCTTTCAGATGATTTAAGTGCTGGAGGAGCAAAGTTTTTTGTTTTCTTTAAATTGCAGATGAGGTCCAGCTTCTGCATAGTTCTTTTAAGTATTCATCAGGAGATACTGAGCCCTGGAATTAACTGAGCAAAAACACCCCAACAAACCCATGTTGTAACCCTCATAAAATGTATTTGGCTTTATTTTTGCCTTTCAAAACCATTGTGAAATGATGGAAAGCTTTTTAAGAGTGGTACTGTATTGCATATCTTGTTGTTTAAAAAGAAAGTGTGGTTTTTATACTGGAAATTTTTAATAATGAAAAACAGAAGATGGACTTGGGGGAATGAGAGCAAACAGAGAACCTGTCAAGCAGAGCTGTTCCCAGGTGTTCTGGAATTACTCATGTGCTATTCAAAGATCCATGTGAATTAAAATAATTTGCACCCATGTTTGCAAGGAGCTGCTTTCCTAGCAGAGGCTGGATGCAGGTGTGAAATGTTAGTACTAACACACAAGCTACTGTGTTTCATGCAGCTCTGTACTATATTGACTCAAAACTCAAGGAATTTGGTAGTTCTGCACTTGCTCTGTGCCCAGCTTGATTTCGTCCTTAGACTGTGCTGATACCCTGCTCAGGTGTTTGGACTGGGTTGGTTTTTCTTGGGTTTGTGTCTTTTTTCCCCTCCCCAGGAAGATGCCTAAGGAGAGCATTAGCATTCCGAGAGCTCTCTGAGGCAGGGTGGCATCCCCTCTGGGAATCTCCTCTAGGTTTCACCAGCAGTGCTGTAGTTAATGGCTGCAGTTCAACCATCCATCAGCTCACATCTCTACATCTGATCCACCCTTTGGACCATTTTTGCTCTTGGACAGGCTAAAAGTGACACCTTGTCAAGGATCAGGTTAGCCAAGAGTGGGGCACAGCGTGTTTCCACATTCTTACTGAACAGTGAAATGATACAATTTCCAACTGTAGAAAAAGCCAGTCTAGGATGGATGGGCTGAAGATTTGAGGGTTTGTTGTTTGGTTTGGTTTTTTTTTGTCTTCCCCCACTTTTGGAATGAAAACCTGGCTTTTGAAACAGCTCTACAACCACAAAGGAAAAGCACACGGCTGCTGGCTGGGTGGTGTCCTGGCCTCAGTGCTCTCTTGTAGCTGATTTTCTTCTGTGTGCATCCAAGCCAGCTGTTCCAAGGCTGACACACACCCTGCCCATATTCCCAGCTCCAGAGCCAGCAACTTTAAAACCTTCCATCAGTTTTTATGAAGCAACTAATGGCTGCAGTGGAATAGATCTCTTCAGCTGAGTTCTGGTGGTGAATATATACATTTTCATGGCAGGTTGTGGCTGTGAGGGCTGGCAGGTGTGCAGCTGCTGCTCTCATGTCTATTTTTTTTTCTGTGATCATTTGTGTTTTGAAGTGGATACTTGCTAAAAGGTACTTTTGGCAGGGAGCAAGATCTCCACTGATAAATTAATAATTTAATTCCTCCTGTGTTGACCATGGTTTACTAATCAAGATTCTTTCTTGGTTTCAGAGCTGGTACTGGGGGTATCAGTGATGAAGGGATGGCAAGGAAAAGAACTTTAAAAATTCTATTTAAAGAGACTAGAAGGAAAATGGATGTGCTGGAATTTCTGACCTTCCAATCTAGTTCTGCTGCTCTGTTGTGTGCATTAAAATGGGGAGCTCTGGTAGGCTGGTCTACAAGATGCACTTTCAGAAAAACCAAACCCAAACCTGGCCCCTAAATTGTTACTTTATCACAGACTGGAGAGGGGAACATTCTCTGTAAGTTCAGCCAACTGCTCTTGGTGGTGCTGTTGCTGCCACTTTGCTGGCTGTTCTATTTCCTGGAGATATTACATCTCAACTCTTGCTTTTAAATTAATCTTCTAAACTTTTTCAACATTGTTTTGACTGGTCTGGGGGTGGAGTGTTACAAAGACGTCACCTCCCCTTCGTGGTGCAAAGTTCCAAGGCTTTCATGCACCACGACATCACCCAGGTGATCAGAACGGGGGGCTCCGGTGGGCAACTGGGGGGCTTGAGCGGGCAAGTGGGGAGCAGGGCGTTTTTCCATCCCTTCCCACACCCCTAAAGCTGGTTCCTGGTTGGAAGCGCGGCTGCTGCACTGCAGGGCCGGGCCAGAGGATGGCGATGTTGGTCTGACTTTCCAGCAACCGGTGACACTTTGTCTCTTGAACGGGCATCTGAGTGATTCAGCTGAGAGAAAAGGTTGGGACTGGTCCTGTGGCAGGACCAGAAGAGGATGGGGAGGGGAAAAAGACAGACAGAAAAAAATAAAAATAAAAAAAAATGGGTGCTGGAGCTGGGGAAGGAGTTTCTGCATCATTTGGGAAAATACAACAGTGCTGGAAATACTGTGACAGAGACAAATGCTGCTGGTTGCCCAGCTAGATTTTTTCCACCGTGAGTCTGTTACCTTGAATATATGAAGTATGCTCATTTTCCACTGCCTGGGTAGTTTTTAAAGTATCAGTTTAAGTACTGGAACATTAATAATTAAAGTTTCATTTGGGAAGTGGTTCACTTCTTTAACTGGTATTTTAAAATATGGTCAGATATATAGAATGTAGAAGGCACATCCTGTGAGTATTAGTGGGCTCACCACTGTGGAAAAACTGGAGATCAAAACTGTTGGGAAAAAGCAGTGACTATAATGCAAGATAGTCCCTCTTTCCTCT